GCCCCACACAGGCAATTCATCCACAAGTCCCATTGGTTCTATCTCTGCACTAAGGAATCTGTGGACTTCTCAGCATCCTACTGCCACCACCTTAGGCCAGGCCACCAACTCTCTCTTGCATAAACTAGTGTAACTGTCTCCTTATGTCCTGATTTGTCTCTTGCTCCCCTACCAAGCACTCTTGGCAAAGTGCATGGCAGCCAGAGGAACCAGAACATAAATCAGATCATGTTGCTGCTGCTGAAAACACTTCAGCAGCCTCCCATTGCGTTTATAATAAATCCCAACTCGTCCCCACAGCCTGAGAGGCCCAGCCTCTCTGGCCCCTTGTCCCCTTTCCTATGCCATCTCCTCACACTCTTCCCTACTCACTCCACACTTGTCTTTCCACTCCTCGAAACCCCGAGGGCCTTTCCCCACCACAAGGCCTTTGCATGTGCTGGTCCCTCCACTTGGAATGCCTTCCCCCAGCAATTCGCAGCCACTCCTTCTCATCCTTTAGCTCTGAGCTTACATTTTACCCTCTCAGAGAGGCCTTCTTTGGCTACCCAAGCCAACGTAGCTCCCCTGTGTTTTTCTCTATCATCTCTCTTTGCCTTTTTTCTATTATTACAAATAAAAATATTATTTGTAAAAATCTGAAATTAATCTTTTCTTTGTTAGTTTACATCAGAGGTAGTGTTTCCTTCTGCTACAATGTAAGTTCCATGAGGGCACTAATGTTTCCCCATTGTCTATAGAGAGTACGAATGAAGAAAGGGGACTAACACAGGGCTCCTGAAAGGTCCCTGACCTACCCCAGAGATGGTGCACAACGTAGAGCTCCCCTATCTGTGAGAAGAAGCCACCCACTGCCTCCTGGTTCTCCTGCCGGTACTTGATGGCCCGAGCCCTGCAGATGGCAGAAGAGTGTGGGGCAGAGGCCAAGACCAGTGCAAAGGGCCCCCTGATGTGTACCCAGGCTGATTCCTTGGACACACCTCCCAGGAGGGGCCTGAGATGGGGCTCATGGCTCTCAGAGATGATGGGGAAAGAGTGACAGAGATGCAGCCGCAGGATGGGTGTTCCACCCAGGGAGGCCTCTAGGAGATGCTCACCTCCTGATTGTTTCTTTCTCCCGGATCCATGAGGGGCAGAGGATGCTAGGTTCCCTGTGACATGGCCCTGGGAAAGGTGGCCCACCAGGGGCCTTGGTGGGCAGGAGAACAGGGAGGGTCCCCCTACCCACAGCCCTGGTGCTTCCACTCACCAGTTGTTCCCCCACTCGATCATGGTTCCTGGCTGAAAAAGAACCACAGGGAGGATGGGAATGAGCCCCCAGCTCAATTCCTAGCATCATAGCTGGGCAAGGATGGGAAACTGTCCTGTCTCCTCAGCTCCAGGGGCTGCTCGGCCTTATTCAAGGGCCCTGACTCACACCTGGTATGTCTGTGTGTGCACAACCATATGCACCTCTGCTCTGAGCCCACAGAGAGGGAGAGGCCAGAAGCCCTATTTAGGTGCTGTGGCACAGGGCCCATTAACCTTGGGGCAGCTGCGAAGCAGCAGTGCAGCATGGAACATGGGGGGCAGGAGGGGATCTGCTGGAGGGAAGCACCTTTAGCTTGTACGTCCTCAGCTCATAGATGTTGGGGCCCGCTCTGGGCTGTGGCTCGTTCCAGAAGCTGAACTCAAGGAGCAACTGGTTTCTCCTCGACAGCAGCATCTGGCTCCGCTCCTTTCGGAACTCCAGATACTCCTGTAGGCATGGCAGTATAGGCATGGGAACCAGGAAGCCCCCTCCATCCCAGCAGTGCGCCCATGGGGTGGCAGAGGAGCCCCTAGCACAAGGCTGGGCTGGAACCATCATCCAGAGAGGTTTGCTGAGTGGGTGCTGACATACCTTGTTGTTTTTGAGCTTGTTCATGCAGTCCATGAGGGCTGGGTAACCGCCCGAGAATCGCCACAGGTGCACTGTTGGGGAGTGGGAAGTGCAGGTCAGGGCACTGCTGGGACCCTGCCCTGCTTACCCCAATGCTGGCTAAGTGTGTACGTGGCAATGGGGGAGTTGGGGGTGGGGGCGGGTAGCTTGATGCCTGGTTCCCTATAGCATCAGGATTCTGAGTTCTCTTTGCTTTGTTTGAGGGCAGCACCGGGGAGGGGATGACCCCAAACACAAGTCCCTGTCCCAGTCCAAGGGGCCTGGGTTTGAGCTCCAGCTCTGCCAAGTGGCCTCTGACCCTCTAGGCCTCAATGTCCTCATCTTGAAAATGGGGATAATGCTCTCACCCAACCTTCCTTAAATAGCGACAAGAAGATCGATGTGTCCTGTATCCTAGGAACAGTAGCATGTATAAGGATGACCACCAGGCCTGTGAGGGACAGTCTGGACAAAAGAAGGGGATAAGTCTGATGGGCTGAAATAGAACATTTCAAGGCAGTGAATCAAAAAAACCAAGGAACTGAACAGCATGTAAGGTGAGCTACCACATGGGTTTAAGGGTGGGGAGGGTGTACCCAGGGATGATGCTGTATGCATTATCTCTTGACAGAGACCAAGAGATCACGACAGGAGATGCCCCTGAGGCAGAGAACTAGGTGGACCCTAAATCCAATGACTGGATTATTGGGTGGACCCTGAATCCAATGACTGGTGTCCTTATCAGAAGAAGGAGACTTGGACACAGACAGGAGAAACCTATGTGAAGACAGAGACACACACAGAGAACATTATGTGACTAAGGAGGCAGAGATTAGAGTGATGCATCTACAAACCAAGAAACACCAAGGATTTCCAGCAACAACCAGAAGCTGGAAGAGACAAGGAAGGGTTCTCCCCTAGAGCCTCCAGAGGGAGCCTGGGCCTGCCAGCACCTTGATTTCTAACTTCCAGCCTCTAGAACTGTGAGATTATAAACTTTTGTCATTTTAAGCCACTGTTTGTGGTATTACTGCAGTAATAGGAAACTAT